ATTCGAGTTTGCTCAGCTCGCAACAAGTGGCAAGAGCAAAAAGAAAGAATAAACAGGAACATGGAAGAAGAGAACATCTGCCAAGGTATATGTCTCTGGTGATTCGAGGTACATGTTCTGTCTTTGGTTTATCTATCTCGATCTTGAGAATTCGTAGACAAACTGGGGATCAGGGGGTACGTGGGATACGAACTCGTCGGTAGCCAGGGGCTGGAATGTGCCGCCAAACAGAAAGGAGGGCCCATACGTGGACGACGGAATGTCATTGTGGCATGTTCAGTGTTCAGACTGCGAAGATACGGGCCATTGGGGGTGGGGTGCCCACGCAGTCGCTCGCGGCACGCTGGAGCCTCTGCCGAATTAGATGGAATAGACAGAGGCCTGGCTCTGGGCTGGAACAGGTGTAAACCACGGCTTCAACGAGAAGAAGGCGAGTGTTGAGGACGGAAACGCATGCTTCGTGCTGCCGCCGCCGCCGCCGCCGCCGCCGCCGCGCGGCGCTGACAGGATCTTGACATTGGCGAAAACATAGTGGCGCGTCGTTGCGGTTTTGTCTCGACATTTGCCTCAACGACCAGAAAGCGCCTCGCGCTGTCTGGTCCGTTGAGATTATCCTTTTCGTCATCTCATCGTCGTCTAAAGCCTGGTCAGGATGGTACAACATTGCGGAAAACACCGTGGTCAGGAATACTCTTTCTTGTCTTCAGATGTCGCCTGAGGAAGTGTGGTCCACAACCCGGCAGACCATGTCATCAGATCACCGAGTCCCGCACGCGAGCATCACAAGCAGATTGAATAGCAGCAAATTTCATCTCACACGACAAGATCAAGACGGTAGAAACAGCCTCGTAGGTGGCCGGGATATATGGTTTGGTGTTAAAGAAGAAGACAAAAAGACGAGTCCCTCAAGACGCCAACCGTGGGAACCTGAACCCGTTCCACCAACGCAAGGACCATCACTTGGGCGAAAGAGAGTTCATAGGGAACCAAACCCTCCCTTTCCCCACGTCGTCTCTCTTTCATCGTTTGCATGCCACCTGCCTCGATTCCCTCAAAGGAAAAGGGGCGGCCAATACTCGTTCACCGTCAGTAGAAAAGAGGAAAGCAGAACATCCTGCCATAGCAATGAAACCCGAGCAGCGACCGGAACAAGAGAAACAGAAATCCCAAGAGAACCGCGTCTGAGTCCCCAGGCACGACCGCTGCAAGCAGCCGGCATGCAAAGAGGCAAAGTGCTGTTCCTTGGACGGAAGAATAATTACAAGGAAAAATAAGAAATACAACGAGAACCACAGACAGAATCAACGCGATGCGGATGCGTGTTGTTTCGTCTTGCTCGCGGGCGGTAAGTGATGCTTCATGTACGAGTAGAGCCGTGCCCGTGCGGACGGCCGTGACTCGCAGTCAGCCCAGCCGGACTGTACTCGTTTGTATGTTCCGGACCATATTCCGTCTCGTGCGCAAAACATCCCGGTATGCGGAAACTGGGAGGGCAAAGGGACCAAGCAAGCGCTAATGCTTCATTCGACAAGTCGGCCATGGCGGCCGTAGTGCTACCATGTCGCGCTCTTGTGGGCAAATCTGGGATGGGAGGAGAGGTGAAGGGTGTGTAGGTTGCTTTTGGACAAAAGCATGGTTTCAAGAGAAGACCAGTTCGATTCGTTTTCAACATGACCGGCGTTTCGACGTTCACCATATAGTGGGAGACATCAAGCGCGCAAGGATTTCATGTTGGTGTTCGTGGTGCCGCGAAGAGTAGCTTGAAGTGCCAAGGCCCTGGTCTGTTTGGTATAAATATATTGTCATGCCAAACAGACCGTACCAGGATCAAAGCCGTGGTTGTTTGCTGGGCGCCTTTTCTTCGTCAGGGGAGCTGACGTGTTCGTAAGGCCACTTGCGCTTTTCTCTTCGCGACGCCTCATCCTAGGTGCTGTGAGACCTCATCGAGTGAAACTGGGAAATGGTTAGCACATCAGTCACACATACAAGGTAGTCGCCAAAACTTACTCTCGAGATGGGATCCTCCTGATCCGCAGTCACCAGGGCCGGGCTGTCGAGACCCTGTCCTACCAGCGGGTCCCTAGACGTGAAGGCACGGGTCTCCAGTGAAGGCCGGAGGCTTGAGCCAGAATCATCCGTCTTCTTGTCGGCGTCCTCCTTCTTGTGCGGCTGGTCTCGCTCGCGGTTCTTCTCGAGGAGCTGCCCACCGAGGGTTGCGCATTTGAGAATCGTCTGAATAAGGTGGTTCTGTTGAAGCGGCTTCGACAGGTACTCGTCCATCTGAGCCTGGATGCACTTCTCACGATCACCCATCATGGCGTGTGCCGTGAGGGCAATGATAGGCGTTCGGTGGGAGCCGGCCTCGCGCTCGTAGTCTCTGATCTTGCCAGTGGCCTCGAAACCTCCCATGATGGGCATCTGCACGTCCATGAGGATGACGTCGAACCTCTTTCGCTTGATGGCTTCGACAGCCTCGTGGCCGTTACCAACGACCGTGACAACGTGGTGATACTTCTCGAGAATCTTGACAGCCAGACGCTGGTTGACTCGGTTGTCTTCCGCCAGCAAAATCTCAAACGACTTGGTGTTGTCTGCCAACGAAGGCGTGGCACGGTTTTCAAGAGCCGGGATCATTCCGTTGCCAAGGTCGACAGCTTTGCAAGGCGTTGTCATGTAGGATGTAATGCCAAGGTCCAAGCAAGCCTTCATCCTGACATTGACGATGGGGGCCAAGAGAACGATGGGGAGATATTTGAAGTCGTCCACCGAGCGGAGTCTCCTCGCTGTGTCGATGGAGTCGACAATGATGACGTCGTAAGGCATGGACGCGGCGGCCATACCGCGGACCCTGTCCAGGGAGGGGCTCTTCTCGGAATCGACAACAACGGGAATGAGACCAATGGCGCCAAGCATGTCGCGAATTTCCATACCGTAAGCCGTCTGCGTCTTATCCACGAAAAGGACTTGGTGGCCCTTGTACGGCTTGATCTGCTTCTCGATCGACTCGAAACCAACGTCGCACAGGCGAACCTTGCAGGTAAAGTGGAATGCGCTGCCTTTGCCGTGATTGCTCTTCACCCACAGATCACCACCCATGAGCTTAACCAGCCGCTTGGAGATGGACAGGCCAAGTCCGGTGCCACCGAACTTGCGGGTCATCGATCCGTCGGCTTGCTGGAAGGTGTCGAAGATGAGATCTAACTTGTCGGCGGCAATACCAATACCGGTGTCCGTCACAACAAACTCGATTGCGTACTGGTTGGGGCCACAAGGGAACTTGAGCTCATCGGCCTTCTTGATCGTAAGGCTGACTTCACCATGCTCGGTGAATTTGATCGCGTTTCCGACCAGGTTGAGAATAATCTGTCGCAGAAT